CAAAGATAAAAGCAGACCAGAGCCTGCCTTTGAGAAACTGGCATTCTAATGGAAGAAACACCATGTACATATTCAGGTATATGCAAGGTACGTAGAAAGCAACCACAGGGTGCCCTGGATAGGAATGTACTAACAGCTAAAGCAGACCTATAAAGGCCTCTCCTACAAGGGGGTATTTAGGCTGATTCTTAAAAGAGACCAGGGTTCCAGGAGGCATGCAGGGAGAGCCTTCCAGGGTTGGGGGACAGTCAGTGCCTTTGTGCAGCATGGAGATGTACAGAGATGGGATATACAGTGTTGTATGTTAGGAGCTCATGTTAGGCCAGTAAGGCTGAATGATAGAGTATGTGAAGGAGAGTAATGTAAGAATTGAGAGAGGTTGGAAGGGGCCAGGTCGTAAAGAGCCGTCAAAGTCAAAGGACTTGGTGGATCAAGTGAGATTATTGTAAAGGAGCTTAGCACAGTGCCTAGTGCATAGTAGGCACTTAATTAATGCTTCTTCCCTTCCCCCAAAGGTTTAGATTTGATCTTATAAGAAATAGAGAATCACTAGATTTTATTGGGAGGAGGTAACATTTTCAGATCTAACTTTTTTGGCAGTTGTATAGAGGGTGATTTGGAGTGGGGAAGCCACTTTAGCCAGGAAGACCAAATGGGAGACCATTGAAATACTCCAAGTGGGAGATGATGAGGGCCTTAAATAGGGCAGTGACTATATGAGTGGAAAGAAAGGGAAGCTATGCAAGAGATACTGTGGAAACAAAAATGATTCCATGTGGCAACTGATTGGATATGTGGTACAAGTAAGGGTTGAAGATGAAGAACAAGTTGAAGATGACCCCATTGTGCAGATCTGGATTGTGGTGCCCTCTTCAGAAATAGACAAGTTCAGAAGATAGGTAGGTAGGTTTAGGGTCTTGTTTGAATGTGTTTAGTTTGAGATGCCTGCGGGACCAATCCAATCCAAAACTTTGGTGATGCAGTACTGGTCCTGGGGCTAGATTTAAAAGTCTGGAAGTCAACTGCAGACTGATGGTCACTAAACCCATAGGAATTGATGAGATCACTCAGTGAGAGTGAATTATCTCCTAATCAAAGTCAAAACAGACTGACATACAGAAATATGACTTTCCCCCTAGATGGCAGAGGGAATAGATGCTATTGGAAATTTTCAAATAGCATCTCAGTTGCTCCGTGCCTTGTGGGTAAAGAATACAAACTGAGTCCTCAATAGGAAGCCAGAAGGTGCTTTAAAAAAATAAATTTGAATTTATCTGAGGCCGCCGTCTCTCAAAATGACCTCGGACCTTTAGTTCCCACTAGTTAATATAATCAGAACAAATGAAAGGGCATCTTTCAGCCTGGGAAAAGGAAGATTTGGAGGGTAGCAGTACCTCCTTAAGGAACTTGCCGCTGTGAAGAATGGAGTGTCATTATTGTGTACTCTTGGCATGTTTCATTGTGTTTTTGAAGTGATGGGGAAATAGTTTTCTTGGTACTGGCTCTGGAGTCTGAGGACCTGAATTCAGATTCTGCCTCTGATACTTGCAGCTTGTATGACCTTTGGCAAGTCAATGAAACTTCTTTGGGCCTCAGTTTCCTGAGGGATTTGAACTAGGAGACCTCTATAGTCCCTTCCAGTTCCAAATCTATGAATCTGTGCCCAAATGGCTTGAGTCTCTTCAAGCTATCTTGTGTTTGTATTTCCTTGGATGAAATGCTTCCGTTTTCTTTCCTTTGATTGGGTGAGGGCGGAGTGGGGTGTGCTGTTAGTCATTAGAAAGATTGAAAAGAAGCCGCTTTCATAAAATGTTCTTTCCGACTTAGATGGATCACTGTGGACTGATTCAGAGGAAGAGTGCTAAATTTGGACTTGGAGCATCTGGGCTCTAATCCTGGCCTCCTGCCCTTGCATACTGCCTTTGTGGCCTCCAGCAAAGCTCTTTGTCTCTGTAGGTCTCAGTTTCCTCATGGAGTATGAGGGAGTAGGACTAGGGACTTTTGCCGTGCCTTCTAGCTCTAAATCTGTGATTCTAGAACCTTCGATTTCAGGGCTGAAATCTAAGGGAAGAGTAGAAGGAGCCCTGTCATGTTCTGAGTCTGAGAGAGGCGGAAGAAAAGGATAGGATGGGCATTTCTAGGAAAGGGGGGAGGGGTGGAAGAGCCAGCTTGTCCAACGGGTTTTTTAAATGAAGATTAGGATACGACAAGAGCTACTCTTGTAGGTTGTGCCCAACTACAGGCTGGTCAGACCCTTCGTATATCATCCTTATGGGTACTCTTGCTTCCCACTAATAGTGAATCTTTCTTTGTGGTAGAGTGTGCTCCACCCCCAGGTTTGGGGAGGGAATTAACATTCCCTTATTATTTTATTTATATATATATATTACATATAATATATCTTATATATAATACTATATTATAACTTTCTTACTATGTTGTTTCATTAAGTAAATTTGTACCAATAGTATTGCCTGACAAGACTAGAAAAAAAAAAACCAGACAGATTGGTGGAGTCTTGTGAGCTATGAGAATACAGACCCACAGAGTGCCTGGAATGTGGACTAATGTTTCTGGGGTTCCTACATGTGAAGGGATGGTGCCCTGGGTGCTCTATTGTGAGCAGGATTGATAAACTGGCCTGGAAAACTTAGACAAATAAATCAGTGAACTTGAGGCCACCCAATTTGGGCTACAGAGTGTTTTATAGTCCAGTTCGATTGTTACTCTTGAGTTTTATTTATATATTTATTTGCCTCTTTTCCCTTATTGAATAACCACATGTGTTGTCTTCCCCCTTCTTTCTCCCTTCTCTTCTCTTCTCTTCCTCTCTGTTTTTCTTCATTCTCTCCCCTCCCCCAAATTCTTCCCTATAGCCTCTTTCCTTCATCTCTTCCAAACTCTTAGAAAGCTTGCTCTGAACTCATTCCCCTACTTCCTTATAGCCTACTCCTGAAGATCTTGAAATGCTCCTCCCCCCCAAAAAAAAAGAAACTATTGAAAAAGTTCTTGCCAAAGTCACTAAATAAACTCCTTCCTGCTAACTTGAATGACCTTTTTTTTTTTTCCCTGTCTTCATCTCTTTGGCCCATCCATACCCTCTGCCATAACTGTGGGTCACCCTTTTCCCTGACACGTTACCATCCCTTGCCTTCGATAGCACTACATTCTAATGGTTCTCCTCCTACCCCTCTGACCACTCCTCAGTCTCCTTGGCTGCTTCTTCGTCCTCCTCCTGCCCCTTAACAATGGATGTTCCCCAAGGTGCTGTCCCAGGCCCTTTTATTGTACTATCTCCAACATCAGTCTCCCAGTACTTCATGCATCACCTCTATGCAAGTCACTGTCAAATCTATATCTCTACCCTCAACCTCTCCCTAGAGTCCCCATTCCTGGATTTTCTAATCTATTGGATACCTTCAGCTGGATGACCTAAGCTCGACTTGTTGGAGACTGAACTTAACCTTTCCCACTAAACATCAGCTGAGTGACAGACAGCACATTCAACATTTCACACCCTCTAGTCTCTCCTTGTCCCTGGGCAGGTTTGCTAAGAAAAGAGGGAGGTGGTTTCTCAATTCTGCTCCACCCCAAGTCCTTTTGAGTCTGCCATCTCTACATCTCACAACTGACCTCCTTTCTACTCCCATGGCAACCACCCCAACATAAACCTGTCTTAGGCTCTTGCCATAGCTTCGTAAACAGTCTTCCCCCTCTCCCACCCATCTTGCTATCTAGGTAGTCATAGGATCATAAGCTTAGACCTTAGAGATCTTTTTGTCCCATCTCCTTATTTTGCAAACAAGGAAACTGAGGCCTAGAGAAAATTGACCAAGGCCATAAGAGTAGTAAGTGGCAGAGGTCGGATTTGAATTCACATCATTTGAGTACACACAGATGAGATATTTTTTGTACTGTATCATTCTCCTTCCCAGTGTTCCTAATGTGCACCACCACCATGTTTCTCTTTGCTACCAGAGCCTGGCGAAGAGCCTTCTCCCTGCCAGGACTGGGGTGGGACTAGGGAGGGGCCTCCTGCAGCTTGGGGCCTTTCCTTTGTTTTGCTACCCTCCTGACATGAGCTGCTTTCAATGGAATCTGCTGGCTTCTTCTCAGGAGGGAAGCCAGCAGCTGCACGTTGGGCTCATGAAGGGCTCAGGTGAGTTTGGGGCGGGTCGGTCGAGATTCCTCTGTGTCGCTCCCACTCACGCTGCTTAATTGCAAACAGTTTGGTTGTGCCAGTGGGAGCAAAGCCAGTGGTTTGCTTTAGGGCACCTGCTCTGCAAACAACCAGGATTACATAGTAGAAAGAGTGAGAGTGAGGGACAAAGACGCAGCAGAGACCCAGGTTCACATTCCACTTCTGACTGTCCATGGGCAAGGCCTAGAATCATAGAGTTAGAAACAGGAGACTTTAGAGACCGTGTAATCCAAACCAAGAACCAGAGAAGTTAAGTGTTTTGTTCACTGTCACAAAATAAGCGACAGAGGGTGGGACCTTGGGTTCATTGAGCATTTACTAAGCTACTGTGTGCCAGGCACTGTGCCAAAGTGCTGGGGCCACAAAGAAAGGTAGAAGACAGCCCCTGCTCTCAAGGGGCTTAGAGTCTAACGAGAGAGACAACATGCACACAAGTGCTCTGACTGCACTGCAGAGCCCCACTGCTCAATGCATTTGAGCCTCTCTTTGCCACAGTTTCCCCATCTCTGCAATGGGTATAAGAATACCAACAGCCCTGATCTCCCAGGACTATTGTGAGAATCAAAGGAAATAATGTGTTTAACAACTTGTAGCCCTTTCAGCATAGACCACGTGTGTGCATGTATGACTTCTCTCCTGACCTATCCCACCCCTGCCCCCAACACCACCTCCTAGGAACGGTTAATTCTGATCCCCTGTCGGAGGCATCTCTCAACTCCTCCAAGCCCATCCACCCAGGACTAGCATCCTCCATTGTGGGATTTGTTGGGAGTGTCTAAGATGCCTTTTCTGACTTCAGGAATTGTTGAGCCGTACGTCTCTCGAGGCACAGAAACTGGAGCTGACGGCGGAGGTTTCCGAGCTGAAGCTCCGGCTGGTTGGCATGGAAAGGGAACAGAGGGAGCAGGAGGAGAAGCAGAGGAAAGCTGAGGTGAGTGTCGCTGGCACATCTCAGTCTGCCCAGGGTGCCCTGTGAAAGGCCAGCTCTTCAGACAGCCAAGCTGGAAGGCAAAGTGTGTTAGGAGCCCACAGGCCAAGTTAGGAGGAGACTAGCTGCTCAGGCTTTTTGGAAACACCCGTTTGGCCTAGCAGGGAATTTCACGTTATGCTCCAGCTACCAGAACAAGGCCAATCACTGCTGTCTGCAAGGCTTTTGGGGCAAAGTGGGACAGAGGGAGAAGGATGAGGAAAAACTACACGACAAAGTGGATAGAGCCCAAGGCTTGGAATTCAAATCTTGCCTCAAACACTTATTGGTTGTATAACCCTGAGCAAGTCACTGAATGTCTCTCAGCCTCAGTTTCCTCATCTGTCAAATGAGGAAGTTGGACTCCTTCCAGGCTGTCCTTCAAACACCAAGAGGAGAGGTCATTGTTGTTGAAGCCTGCCTCTTCAATGGAGAGACAGTGGAATTCGGGTGTGGGGTGGTGCGTACGATGTCAGCCACGGCAAACATGCTGAGCTGTGCTTTTTTGTATCCAGAGAAGGTTCTGTTTAGGGGCAAAGGGACAGAGAGGGAGTCATTAGGAAGTGACAATGACGTTTCCAAAGGGGAGGCACACCAATGAAGCAAATGTTTAAGGATATTTTTGAGAAACAGAATGCCATGGCTCTGATATTTCTTTAGCCGGAGTGCAGTTGATCCCCAAATGTGCCACTGTTGGCTGCTCTTTGGGGAGACTCAAATGTGTGCAAACAGGGTATGAGAGCTTTTCCCACAGCTTCTTGGACCCCCAATCCCAATCATCTGTGTGCTGAAGCAAGTGTGTATCTACATGCGCTGCTTCTCTTGACCTCAAGCTTTTTAGTTCTGGAAAAGGGAGAGAGAATTATTGCTGGGCCCTAGAAAGAACACTGGATATGGAGTCAAAATATTCTGGTTCAAATCCTATCTCCGGCAGTTCCTGGCCAAGTCATGTGGTTCCTTGGAGCCTCAGTTTTCCTCATCTGGAAAATGGGAATAATGGCATTATCATTTGCTCTCTTAAAAGCACTGTGTAAATGGAAGCAGAGACAGCAGCTGTGAGTAGTAGAAAGACTAATTAGTTTGGTGGAATTATGCCCAGACCCTCTTTCTGCTGCTTATTACCTTGAGCAACAATGTTAGCAATAATAACTGGCATGTTTCTGGCCCTTTAAAGTTTGCAAAGTCCTTTATACACATGATCTCACAACATCTGTGTGGGTTGGGTTAGGGATGGTGAGCAAAATTGCCTCATTTTAAAGATGAGAGAACTGAGGCCCAGAACAGGCAAATACCTTTCCCGTGGTCAGACATCTCCTGAGTGTCAGAGGCAGTATTTGAACCCAGGCCTTGCTGAATCTGGCACTCTCTGCTGTGCCATTTTGCTTTGTAAATGACTTCACCTCTATATCTGGGGATTCTTCCTCTGTCATCTCTCAGCTCCCTTGCAACTCATCTCAGTATTTTCTGATTTCTTCTTGCCCTGGGCTGTTTTTAAAGGACGATTTATGGATGCCTTTTATTTTGACACCGTGATCACTTCCCCATACTTACCCCACTCCCACGATATAGAACCTTCCTTTGCGTCTGGACAGAAATGTCCTCTCCCGTATCCTTGACTAATGGTCATCCAGCCGGAGGCTGACAACCTCCAACAATGTGGAGGGTGCTTTTGGAATGGGCATGTTGTTGGGAGATTTTTCCATATATCAAACTGAAATCTGTTCTTTTATGACTTCTACCCACTGTTCCTGGTTTTGTCCTCTGGGATGAGCAAGAATAATTTTGATCCCTCTTTTAGATGACATCTTTTAGATCTATTCAGTTTTCATAAACCCCTGGATCCAGGCCTAACCTCCACAGTTCCATCAACTTATCCTTGGGTGGTGTGGTTTTGAGGCCTTCTACCATACTGGTGACCCACCCTCTACACATACTTGTAGGCATGTCAGTGGCTTCTTAAGAAGGGGCCCCCAGAACTGAGCACAGTACTCCAGAGTGGTCAGACCAAAGCCAAAGACTGGGATTAAAACCTCCTTCATTCAATTTGACATTTAATAAACACCTACTGTATACCTGGCATTAGGTGCTGGGATTACAAAGATGAAACAGCCCCTGCCCTCAAGAGGCTTTAATTCTTTGGGGGAAATGCTGTCCTTCTGAATACTAATACTATGTTTTTATTATAAATATAGCCCATTATAAATTAGATTTGGGGTTTTTTTTGGTTGCCACATGGTACTAATGACTCACTGCGCTGGCTAAGTGTTTGGTTAAATTTTTCCATTGACTGTTGTCAAAATTTGTTTCAAATTCTCATGTTGTCATTCAAGCCATTAGCTTTCCCTCCCAGCTTTATGTCATCTGCAACCCTGATAAACACAACATCTGTGTCTTCATCCAAGCCATTTACATAGATGTCAAATGACACAGGGTGAAGGATGGGTCCCATAAAGCTATTTTTGGCTACTCCATTATAGCTCCCAGTCATCACAGCTTCCTCTTCGAAGTTCTGGGGCCACAAGTTGTATTACCGCCCTCCTTCCTAGATGAATTTGGTGAATTCTTGGGCCACTCTATCAACATTCCCCTGTTTCTGAGATTCTTAATCTTTTTATGTTATAGATGCTTTTGTCAGTCTGGCAAAGGTGATGGACTCCTCATAGTCTTCTTTTTAAATGCATAAAATAAAATACTTTAGGATTATGGAGGAAACCATTTATATGAAAGAATAGTTATCAAAATGTTTCTTTAAAAAAATTTCATGGATTCTAGGTTAAGAACCCCTATTCTCTTTCATATTTGTTACTCTCTCTGTAACATCTGGTTTAGTAGACATACATATATATATAATATATATATATATTTATAATATATATATAATCCCCTACCGTCCATCTTTACTTTAAAGTTTCCTTGACCCCAAATCTCTACTTGCCAGTATAAAATACTGTGTTTCAATATAGATGATTCATTTTTTGTTTGTTTTTTTTGTTTTTGCTAGACAGTGGGGTTAAGTGACTTGCCCAGGCTCACACAGCTAGTAACTGTCAAGTGTCTAAGGCCGGATTTGAACTCGGGTCTTCCTGACTCCAGGACCGGTTCCCTATCTAGATGATTCTTTAATGATCTCACTTAACCTCCTAGGGCCAGCCTCAATTTCCTTTTCTATAAAATAAAGAATGGCTGAACCACTTCAGGAATTCTTAGCCTAGGGTCCGAGAACTTTTAAAAAATATATATATATTTTGATAACTCTTTTTCAATGTAATTGGTTTCCATTGTAATCCTGTGTATTATATTTTATGCATTTAAAAACATGATTCTGAAAGGGGATCCACTGACTTCACCAAAGTGCTGGGGCAGGGGAAGCACAACACATCAAAAAAGTTAAGAACTCCTGGATTGGGGGAGAGGAAGTAAGGAACAAGCATTTATTAGGCACCCGTTGTGTGCCAGGTACTGTGCCAAGTGCTTTTACAAATATCATCTCATCTGATCCTCTCGACAACTTAGGAGACAGGTACTATTATACTCCCCATTTATAGTTGAGTAAACTGAGGCAGACCAGGTGATCTCTAAGGTCCCTTCCCATTCCAGATCCTGTGGACCAGTCTGATGTGGGAAGCTTTTCCAAGAACCTTCCTTGGGCCACAAATGATCGGATTTATTCCAGTTTGTCAGTTAGCTAGCTCAGAGAAGACGTGGCCTCGTTTTGCCTTCCAGTCATTCCTGAAGGTCTAGAAGGTCTTCTGCCATGTTCCGCCATAACTTTATCTTTCCTCACCTCCCAGCAATCAGAAAGACAATGAAACATTTATGCTCCAGCATGTTCAGGCTGCTTCCTGAGCTCTCTTGTGACTTTTCCCCCAGCCTATCCGCCGCCAAGTCTTGGGGAGGCAGAGCTCCTCTTGTTCATTTTAAAAACAAAGACAAGATTGACAGTGAACAATTTTGAACAAATTGAACATTTCTCTCGTTCTTAGGAAACCATCATTCCCTAGGTCCCACCCCCTTCCCTTCTCCACACCAGGATTAAATACACATCTGCATTCTGTTGCATGTTGGAATTGCAGAATCTAAGTTTACAAACATAACTTTTTAAAGCAAAATATAAAGAGATTTTTTTTAAAGCTTACCATCAGAACAAGATAATTTACAAAACAGACTGAGGAACTTGGAAGGTGACAGGGGATGGGGCTGAGAGCCTCTCCATAGCCTTACCTTCCCTCTCCCAAGTCCTCAGCACTAGGGGCTTTTGTGGAATCACTTCCAAGAAGCTTGATGGTCTTAATTTCCCTTGGGACCCTGTAGACCTGGAATAAAATTTTAAAATGTGATTTTAAAAAAAATTCTATCACAATTAAACTGGTCAGTTGTCCTCATTAAACAGTCCCCTTTCCCCCTCTTTTATCCCTTGAATTTTCCTATTCTATGGATGATGGAAAAAGTTTTTGTTTTTATTTTTGTTTTTTTTTTGAAGCTAATCACTGAAATGAGGTTGCTAATTTTTTGCGGATCCTAGTTAGCTCTCAGTCCAAGGCTCACAGGCTTCTCAGAGCCTCGTGGGGGAAAAGAGATTGGAAAGTCACATGTGTTGTTTGTTTTTCCTCTCCTGTGATCTGGCGTCTAGAGGAGCGGAGTTTGAATCCAACCTAGACATTTCCTAACTGTGTGACCTTGGACAAGTCACTTCACCACTGTCTGCCTCAGTTTCCCCAGTATAAAAACGAGAATCATAATAGCACCTACCACGCAGGATTGTTGGAGGATCAAATAAGATAACGTTTGTGAAGTGCTTAGCACATTACAAGGCATTTAATAAATGCTTTCCTTTCCTGTGCACTGTCAGATTCTTCGTATTGGCTTTGTACAATGCTCATTTCCCGTACTAGATAGTTATTTCCTTGAGAACAGCTCTCATCATCATATTCCTCATAACTATCCATAAGGATTCAATTTCTCTAGTGCCTGGCAGTTTACACAGCCTCACAACAGCCCCTTCAGGTAGGTAATCAATCAATCATTTAATCAACCAGCATTTGTTAAATGCCTAGTGTGTTTGAGGCACTGTGCTAGGCCAACAAGATGTGAAGTCAGAAATGAAGTAATGCCTATGTCGAAGATAAAAGGACTGCTCTTAAGAGTCAGGAATACCAGAGCTTATATTATCTGTATTATTACATTCTTTGGAACTAAGTGAACTAAGACTTTTAAGTGACTACTGTGTGCTAGGCACTGTGCTAAGCCCAGAGTATGCAAAGAAAGACAAAAGACCTCCCTGCTTTCAGGGAGTTCACAGCCTATAGTATCATTATCTTTGTTTTTTGGATGAACAGCTCACCCAGATAGTAAGTTCAGAGACAGGACTTTGACCCAGGTTTTCTGATTCAAAATCTAAACCAGAGGTTCCCAAACTTATTTGGCCTTCTCTCTCTTTTCCCCTCCTTTAAAAAAAAAATTACTCAGCGCCCCCTTGGAAATCTACTTTTTTTTAACCTTTAGGAGTTTGTTTGTTTGTTTGTTTAATTTGCATCATTTCAAAAAATATATATAATTTTTTGAAATGATGTATCTTAATTTGATGATTTATTATCAGTTTGTGGGTTTTTTCCAGCATTGAAATTTTGATGATGCAATATTGCATCATGTAACCATAGTATTGTATTGTAAACAAGTCATTACATGCGCATATTCCTTCCCATGAATGATGGACTTCCTGACAGTGCCCTACATGCTCATCTGCCAACACTTGCTTGTTAAGACCTGTTGGTAGACTTGACTGCTGTTGTGTTATAACTTGCATTTTGTATGTTTGTTTGGAAAATTTTCAAGTAGATATTCCAGTAAGATATGTATTTGTCCAAAAGAACAGCATGATTTGGAAAATAATGTAATCACTAGACTTTAACTCTGTTACACAACAGATGAAACATGTATGAACGTTTTTTCAAAATTTTCTTATCTTCTTTTCTTTCCTAATGCTTCCATTACTCCCTTATTCACTGTCTCCCAGTTGCACCGAGGCTACTACCTCCCCACCTCTCCATTATTCCAGCACCCCCCCAGGGGGTGATATCACTCACTTTGAGATCCTGTACACTACACCACATTCTCTTTCAGGCATTTATTTATTGTTATTTTTATTATATTTTATTTTTTATTTTTGACTAGGCAATGGGGTTAAGTGGCTTGCCCAGGGTCACACGGCTAGTAAGTTTCAAGTGTCTGAGGCCAGATTTGAACTCAGTTCCTCCTGACTCCAGGGCTGGTGCTCTATCCACTGTGCTACCTAACTGCCACGTATTTTTTTTTTAAATCACAAAGTTAGTAACATTTGCAACAAATATAAATCAGTGAACAGAATATGTCACTGAATGCCAAATAAAAGTATTCAACCTGAACCATTTGGCTTTTGGCTGAAAATATATATATATAATAAAATCTGAAACAAAATATTAGCGATTTATTTGTTCTGGGTTCTCTCTCCCTTGCTCCCTCTTCCTCCTTCCACTGAGAGGTTAAGTGACTTGCCCCAGGGCCACACAAATCTGTCTTTGTCACAGGCAATGTGATCCCCAGGTCAAAGGATTTGATCTAGTTTTTTGTATGTTTGTTTGGGGCCTTTTATTTATACAGCCAAATTGTTCTCTGAAAACTCTCATCAGCCTACAATCCCTCCAACCAGGTTTGCCCATATTCTTTCTGGTGGAGAATTTTATCATTTTTAAATCCTTCTTTTGCCAGTTTAATGGATGTAAGATATCACCCGAAAGTTATTTGAACTTGTCTTTTCTGTTTATTAACCAATGTGAACAACTTTTTAAGAAGTCAAACACTGTGCTCTGAATAGTTCTCCTTTGGGGAATGGATATTATTCATGGATCCACATCAGATCCTTTTAGAGTTGCATGTCAGATTTTGATCAGAGATATTTATTCCACATTGTCTTCCCTGCATCTGTTTCTTTTCTTTTATTTCAGAAACACTGGTTTTTTTCATGCAGATTCCTTTTATTTTTGACTAAACCAGCGTGGTTGCCAGTGATTTCTTCTGATCTGTGTGATATTTAACATTTTTCTCTTTTCCACTAAATTGTTATGTTTTCATGAAGTCTGCCTTATGATAACTTGTAATATTTGGGTCCTTCTTCCAATTGGAGTTTATTTAAGAATACAATGTGATATGATAATGAGATTGGGATATGATTACCCACTCACCCCCTTTTTTCATACTGATAACCATTGTGATAAAAGATTATTTACTCTTTAAAGGTTGGGAAAAAATTTACCTGTGAGTCTTTTTGGTCTGTGCCTTTTGCTCAGGCAAGTAATTTATCTGATTTCTCCTTCTACATATGCATTATTTAGGTTAGCCATTCTTTTGTCAGTTATGTATTTTATATTTTGGTAGCTATCATTTCATTTCTTTTAAGTTTTCCAATCTATATATAACTCTTATTTTAAATTTTGGTAATTTGTTTTCTCTCTGCTTTGATTAAACTTGCTAATTTTGAGATTGTTTTTTCAGTCTTTCTAAAAAACCTTTCAACATGTTCATTGTTTTCTCATTTTCTATTTTATTAATACCTGTAATAATCTGTTATTTTATTTTTTCTGTTTTCATTTGATACACTCCATTATATGTACTTTGATATGGTCTTCTGTTTCTTTTCTAAAATATGTGAATTTTTTCCTTTTTGTTCTTATAAGCATTCAGAACTATAAATTTGCTTCTGAATAGTGCTTTGGTTGCATTCCATACACTATGATATATAATGTTTTATTGTTATCTTTAATGTAATCGGTTCCTGTAGCTATAATTTCCTCTTTCCATAGGTATTACTTGATTTTTTAATTCAGTTGATTGACTTTTTGTTTGTTTGTTTGTTTTTTTAGGCAATTAGGGTTAAGTGACTTGCCCAGGGTCCCACAGCTAGTAAGTGTCAAGTATTTGTTCTGAGACTGGATTTGAACTCAGGTCCTCCTGACTTCAGGGCGAGTGCTCTATCCACTGCACCACCTAGCTGCCTTGGGTTGATTGACTTTTATAACCATTTATTATCACCTTATCACTGCCCTAACCCCAACTGAACAATAAAAAGAAAAAAAACATAACAAATATGCATAATCAAAAAAAATTCTGCATTGACTATGTCTAGAAATGTCTATCTCATTCTGCTCCTTAAGTCATCGCCTCTGGCAGGAGCTAGGTAGTGTGTGATTCATCTTCAGTCCTCTGAACTCATGATTTAGCATTGTGTTGAATAGTTACTAAACTCTTTCAAAAGTTATTTTCTTAGGGGCAGCTCATGGCCCAGTGGATAGAGCACCTGCCCTGGAGGCAGGAAGACTTGAGTTCAAATCCTGCTTCAGACACTTACTAGCTGTGTGACCCTGGGCAAGTCACTTAACCTCAATTACCTCAAAAAGAAAGTTGTTTTCTTTAAAGCGTACATGTGTTGTACATGCATACACACATATTTTCCTGTGTGTTGATTCAAAAAGAAAGTTGTTTTCTTTAAAGCATACATATGTTACACATACATACACACATATTTTTCTACACGTTTTCCTTTTGCTGTGTCTTTCACGTTTGAGGAATATATGCCCACGAGAGGTATTGCTAAATTAGAGGATATGCATAGTTTAATGACTTTTGCCTATGGTTCCAGACCATTTTCTAGAATGTTTGGACCAATTTACAGCTCTACCAACAATACTTGGTACCTGCCCTCCCAACATTGAGTATCCAAATTTTTTGTTCTCTTTCAAAACCACATGTGTCTTTTCAAAGAAAATTGACAAATGGTTAAATTTCTTGATTTTTTTTTCCCCATTCAATTCTTCCCTCATATCTTTAAAACCAGTTTGTTTAATACTCCATTCCATTTGATAAGTTATTTTTGTCTCAATTATATTCTATTATCTGAATGATAGTCTATTATTGATTTTCTGTGTCTTTCTGTAAAACTGATTTTTTTATAAATTTACTATATTCTTTTATGAATAGGCTTAGGTATAATGTCTAGACATGTGATTTCAGTGATATTGGGAACTCCCTGGCCAGGAAACTCCCCCTACCTGTGTAGGAAGATATCTTCTCTACAACATAGAGCGTTTGAGAGTTGCCTGGGTCATGAAGGTGGGGCATTTGGCCAGGCTGGGGAGGACTTCCTGCTCCAAAGTCCCCTCTCTACCCACTATGCTAAGCTGCCTCTTCTATGAATACATATTCAAATTTGGTGTGTTCTAATTTTGAGGGATGATATAATTTCCTTGTTTTTATATCTCATAATTTCATCTGGTTTGAATTCAGCTTTGTCAGATGTTGTCAATGCCAAGCATTCATTCTTGCATCTCCCTCAGCACCTAGGACAGAGTCTTGCAGAGTAAGCTACTCAATATGTTTCTTGAATTCAATTAAATTGAACTGGGATGCTTCCAGCAATGACCAGTGGTAAAAGACGGCTTTTTGTTCATTCCTCTAAATAGAGTAAACTTAAAAAACTCTCGAATATAAAAACACTCCATTATTTTTTTTTTTCCATCTTGAAAATCCCAACAAAATTCTAATTCATGGAGGGCATCAGTTTCCTCATCTGTGACATTAGGAGGATGGATTAGTCCCTGCTCTAACTATGTATGATTTTGCTCTCCTGTCTCTTCCCTTTTTACAGTTAGTAGTGAATCTGATCAGTGATCTACAGGAGCAGATGTGTAGACTACAGCTGGAAATCAGTAGCCAAATTCAAGAGAGAATGTTGCAGGACAGGGACCACATGGATGAATGTAGCCCTCAGGAGAGCCCCCAGGCCAGCAACCCCGATGGCTTGCCTGTATGAAGCATACCTAAGTATATCCAAGCATGAATTGGTGCTGCCTTGAGTTTGCAGAGAATTCTGGATTCTACTAACAAGAGTCTGCCGTGGGTACCGGCCATTCCTCTGTTTGACTCTGGGCAGAGTCCAGGGGCCATTTTCCTTTCTTTGACTTGCCCCATTTCACCTTTTCATTCTTGTATCTAAAGTTACCCTGGAGGAATAACATGGCTTTGCAGTCCTTCCTAAGACCTCTCTCTAATTGCGTGGTGTGTATCTATTAACAACTCGACGGGTAGCCCAAGGGCAGGTAAGAGAACTTGCCCAGCTGCGCAGTCTTTGTCCAATGACAAAGAGGAAGAAAATAGTAACCCACAAGGTACTTGCTCATAATCCCCGAATTTGGAAATCAGTTTGAGCTTCATGAAATCTAACTTGTTCTGACTTAAGAGAATTACAATGGTATATTAGGAATTGGCGAAGGAGGAACAGCTTCTTCCCATGCTTAATGAAAAACTGGAATGAAGCTGCTTTCTCTTGCTTGCAATTATGTTTTCAGTGAGGAGAAGAGAGAAAAATTTCCAGCTAAAATGGAAAATCTAGATAATATGGAGGACGTGCCAGGTGCTGCATTAAGCACGTGGGGACATTGTAGGCAGAAGGAAAATAATGTAAGAGATGCTCAGTAATTACCAAGAGAAGAAAGGAGTTAGAAACAATAGCCTGTGGTCCCAATTCATTGCTAATTGGAGCAGAGATAATGAACACGGTGAACATGAGATTTTAACACAAGGAGGGAATATACAAATATGTATATGTATGTATATATCATACACATACATAACTACAGAGGAATCACTGGGATTTGGAGAAATTGGACTTAGGACAGGAATTCTGAGGTGATGGGAAGGTTTATTTTATCCAAGAAGAATATATTTTAAAGAAGGCAAAGCGCAGTAGTACCATTTGTCTATGGATAGAGCACTCAAGTTTTACAAAGTGTTTTATATATTACATCATATACAACCACCCTCTGAGGTAGGGAAAAATAGGTTATTCAAAAGAGCTTAACTCTTCCGAAAGGAATGGTTTGCCTGGGTAGGTAGCACATTCCTCATCAGTGGAGGTATTCAAGCAAATGCTGGGTGTTGTAGAAGAGATTTATTGCTCAGGGTTAACCCAGATGCCCTTACACATTCCTTCTAGTTCTGAGATTCTAGGATTATGTGGTTCTTTTAAGGAAGAGTCTTAGGGTTAAATTGTCCAACATATCAAGTGCTGCTCTTCCATTCATTCACCCTGGACTACTGCAGCCCTCCTTGGTCTCACCCCTTTTTGAACCCCTGCAGCCTCTTGCTGGCAGGACTCCTTGTTTGGCACCAAGCGCATGCTACCTCCTGTTCTGTTGACTTCCTGTCTTCCCAGCTGGACCTCAAGTCCCTGGAGAGCTGTGCCTGGGTCCAATCCACTCTGTTATCTCCCTTGAAGTGTCCAGGACTGGGCCCTCCCTGGCAGAGGTCATCACTCAGTGTTAGGGCAGAGCAGATAGTGCTTGACTTGCCACTGCTTTACTTGCATTTCCATTTATCCCCTTCTAGTCCTTGTAAGCTCTGTTTTCTTCAAGGCATCATTGTCCTATCCTCTGATGGTCTCAAGCTTGAAGCTTGTCTCCTGATTGCCTGAACCCCAAGACACAAGGTGGGACACCTGACATGCTCAGTTCCCCCTCTCTCAGAGGAACTGAGGGTGCAGAGGTAGGAAGGTGCCCTCTGAAGCCGAGGAGGCAGCTACTGTCTGCTCTGGGCTGGAAAGTCCCAGGACAATAGAGAACAGAAAATGAAACATCTCTCTTCTCTCTAGAGGGAGGCCGGGGACCACAGACGCAGACTGTCATTTAATTGTTTTTAGCTGTTTTTGCTTATTGTGTAACAATATTGAAAATAATTATTTTTGTCTTTATCATTTGCTTCACCGCTAGTAAATTATGTAGCCAATTTATTGGCTACGCAAAGTAGAATTTGGATCTGAAGGGTGTGGAGGCAATGTGTCCAGAAATTACTTTGATGTGAAAATGTTAATAGATCTTACTGAGGAGGTGCCTGTAATTCTTCTCAAAGAGCTGCCCCCACACAAGCTGGAAAAGCCTCTAAAGGCAGAAATAAGAGGTGCAGCCTGGCATGGCTGTCACTGGCTATGCAAGAGCCTAAATAATTTAGTTTTAGACATTACACGCCTGGGCCAGCTAACGCACCCTTCTCTCTCTCTCTCTCTCTCTCTCTCTTTCTCTCTCTTCCTTCCTCCTCCTCCTCTCTCTCCCATCTCCTCCCTTTTTTCTTCCCTCTTCTTTCTCTGTCTGCCTGTCTTTTCCATTCTAGGAATTGCTACAGGAGCTCAAGCATCTCAAAATCAAAGTGGAGGAGCTGGAGAGTGAGCGAAATCAGTATGAATGGAAGCTGAAAGCAACAAAGGTAAAAACCACCAAGCCAGATGACCAGTGGTCCCGACACCTGGAGACAAGTGATCTCGCGTGAGAGGGGCCAGGGTGTGAATGCCAAACAAGGTCTCTGCTGGCCTAGTTCCATCTTCTGCTTGGAAATGGCCAATTCTTTTTCCCCTTCCCAATAATAGGCATTAGAACCAAAGGCTCTGACTGCGTCCTAGGGCACAGGTATGGATATCCTGCATAAATAGAAATGGCAACAGAAGTGGGGGTTAGGCCTTTCCATTAATACTGAAAGTGGGGGCAGCTGGGGGCACAGTGGATAGAAAGCTGGCCCTGGAGTCAGCAGGCCCCGAGTTCAAATGTGACCTTAGACACTTAACAGCTGTGTGACCCTGAGCAAGTCACTTAACCCTGATTGCCTTCCCCCCAGAAAAATATCAGAGGTGTAAATACTTCTGTCATTTCGCCCCTACTGCTTTCTCCCTCCTGCCCTTGCCAGAGAATTCCATAAATTAATTTAAAGGGAGATGAAGGGAAACAAGCATCTACATCCATAACCCCCAACCTCTGCAAAGAAGTAAGATGAGATGCATCCTCAGAGCTCTTCTTTGGAGCCAGGTGCAACAGTGCAAATTCATTAAGGTACTCCGATGTGTCAGGTCCTGTGCAAGGGACGGGAGATACACAGATTAAGAATAAGCCATCTTCAAAATAATTAAGTTATTTTAACCAGTGAACATTTTCCTAAAGTCTTCCCCTGAAGCCCTCCCTTCTGCCGCCATTCCTGAATGCTGCGCTCAGAAAACAAGGTCTAACAGGTCCCAGCAGGCCAGAAAGGCCTTGAGTATCACCCTATTGGTGGGCTGGGGTTTTGTCAGAATCATCAGGCCTCAGAGAATCTCATCACCAGGGCATTGGCCATGAGGTGATAACGTTGTGGGGGAGTGGAGAAGGGCACAGGAACTCCCTGCTCAGGCCAGGTGCGGGGATCACCTTCACTGATGAAATAATGGATCGTTTAGTTATCCCACTAAATTAAAGAATACATTTAGCTCTGGGGCAGCTAGGTGGCGCAGTGGATAGAGCACCGGCCCTGAAGTCAGGAGGACCTGAGTTCAAATCCAGCCTTACACCAAACACTTGACACTAGCTGCGTGACCTTGGCAAGTCGCTTAACCTCAATTGCCTTAAAAAAAAAAACCACAACAACAACAAAAAAAGAATATATTATTTAGCTCTTCTTGGCAGAGTATTACTTGCTCTTTAAAGGGACCCTGACCATCCCAAGTCTATCGTGGCTTCTGTGGAGGTTTTCATGAAAAAGGCTAGTGATACTAAAAGCAGTAAACCAACATTAGTGGTGCCAGTATTAACCCACACAAGAGAAGGCTGGTGTGCTAACTTGAGACTCCTGGTGGCAGGAGGCAGGAGGGCCAGGGAAGCAGGAGTTACCAAAACCATTCAGCAGTGGTTAAAAAACCAGAAAAGTAAATCAGTGGAATAAAATACATTTCTCAAAAAATAGTTAAGCAAGACCACCCAACAAACACCGTGATAGTTACTGATAGAACGTGTCGTTTTCTTCTTTAGAATTTTACCAATTATTAATAGAAAGGATGTGAAACAGTGTCATACGGTGGCTAGAAAGCTGGTCCTGGTGTCAAGAAAACCTGGGTGAAGTCCTGCCTCGACTAGGCATGTGACATTGGGCACCTCTCGGTGCCCCCAAACAGCTCTTCATGACTGTGTATTACAGAGAGTCTGTGCACCAGTGGAGAGCCTTAATTGTACACTAGGGGCTTTAAATAGTGCAGGGATTATTATTCCTAGTTTTTAGATAAACCAAGGTTTATCTAGCTAACTAACTAACTAACTGGCTTTCCCCTGATCATACAGCTAGCATCCAGCAAAACTGGAGCTCAAAACCAGGTCTTAAGCCTCATAATGCAATGAGTACACCATAACGTCTATGTCCATGGCAGCCTTCTTGCCGCCCGAAAGGAAAGCATCTCTTCCTTCTACCTTTAGCAAAAGTGGAATTGGTCCTTAAGGGTTGAGATGGGAGTATGTTGGAGCCCTGGGCCCCACAGCTGGACACAGAAGGTCAGAGCGCTGGTCCGCATGGCAATGACTGAAGCAGACAGTAAGGCATTGAGCCTGTTAACTGAGGCACAGTTTCAGAGACCGTTTGAACCATTCCCTAGTAGCTTTTGCTTGGGTCACTCGGGGACATTCACATCCCAGGCCAAGCAGGCAGTCAGTGGATAATGAAAGCTGAATCATCACTCTCCCCCTGCCTCATGGGGGTCACATTCTCAGTCTGGGCTCACTTTGTTTCTGGCCTCTGACAAGAGCACTCACTCATCTGAATGATGCCCTTGGCTCTTCCAGGCTGAGATCGCCCAGCTGCAAGAGCGGTTGGCATTGAAGGATGCAGAAATGGAACGCCTCCACAGCCAGCTCTCCAGGACCGTGGCCTGCGCGGAAAGCACAGAAAGAGGTAAAAAGGTGGTGATGCTCACAGAGCCGTGATGTTGTGGCATCCTGCCTGTTACCCCATTGAAGGTGAGATAGGAACCGCCCCCACGGGCAGGATGGGCATCCTGGTGCCCTCTATCAAAGGCAGGCTTCCCCTCACCTACCAGCCCCTTAGAGAAAATGTCGGAAGGGAAGCAAATGGAATGGTTTCCAAGGTGAACTCTAGAAAAAGACCATACAGTGTTTGAAAATTGCCTCACCCACCTACCAGCCCCACCTCTGGTGTCCCTCACTCCCCTTCCCACCACAAGAAGCCTGGACCCCTTCCTTGTTTTACATGCTGCTTGACTTATCACAAAATGAACACCTGTTGGCCATAGACAGCAGAATTTTCTGGCATCAGAGAGATCTACTCTTAGAAAAAAATAATATTTTAAGGTGTCCCTCATTACACCTTCTACATGTTGTGCCCTGGGCTGCTGCCTGACATATCTCTCCCTAATGCTATCTTCTGGTCACAGGACACCCAAGGTCAAGTGCATGGGCTTATAGGTGGGATGAATGTCTGTCTGGTCCTCCAGAGCAGGGGTGGGGATCCTGTGGCCTCATGGCCACATGTGGCCTTCTAGGTCCTCAGGTGCAGCCTTTTGACTGACTCCCAAGCCACCCCTGGCTCTTGCCTCTCCTGCGGTTTTAGAAGCATTGAGGACCTCTGGGCAGTGCCAGGAAGCTCAGTTTTCCTTTCAAATTAAGAGAGAAATTAAGCTCAGAAAAAATAGGAGAATAAAGGTATTTGTCTATGGCTTTGCCCCATGCGCCACCTTGTGCCCGAGACGTGGAAAGACAATTTTTGTCTTCCTTTCCTTTGACCACCAATTTATATCATTCTTTGGGAGAAAACTAGATGGTTTAAAACTTTTTCATCTAAGGATCCTTTTACACTCTTAAAATGATTCCTACTGAAGAGCTGTAAAAACACATATTGGTTATATCTGTCATTACACTTGCAATAGTAGAAATTTAAATGTCTTAGTGTTTTTTATGAAAATAGTTTTGGCCTCTCAGACCCCGTGAAAGAATCCTGGGGACCCCCAGAGATTCCCAGACTCCACTTTGAGAACCACTGGTTTAAGAGAAGTGGATAAGTCAGGCAGTCTTTGGTATTTCTGTGCAGGCCTATGTAAATGGAAATAATATTCTATATGTCATTCTGTGAAAAGGCAGTGTAACATAGTGGATAGGGCCAGCCTCAGGGTAAGGACAATCTGGTTGAAAATCTTGCCTTAACACAGACTGGGGTGTGTCCCTGGGCAAATCACTTAACCCTTTAGTGCTCTAGGCAACTCTAAGATTTTAAGGTACAAAGGGCGACTAGAGGGCACCAGCCCAAGAGTCAGGAGGACCTGAGTTCAAATCCGGCCTCAGACACATAATATTTCCTAGCTGTGTGACTGGGCAAGTCACTTAACCCCAATCACCTCGCCCCCCAAAAAAAAAGAATGTAAGGTACAGAGAAATCACAGGACCAAGCCAAAAACAAATTGTCATTTTATAAACAACAATATTATCAGTGATCACCCTAAATTCCCCCAAAGTTTGCAAAGGAGGGCTCCAGGGACAACTCTGTCTTCCTAGATCAAGGGAGAATTTTATCTCTTTGTGCCTGCTTCCTAAGAAACACAAGGGATCTGCCAGGAAGAAGTTGCTACCCACCTTCTCTTTCAGCCAGGCCTAGGAGGCCATAAGGATCAGGCCTAAAACTCTGCCATAGGAAATGGTATAGTGCCTGGGGCACCGGACTTGAAGTCAGGAAGGGCTGGAGACTCACATCCCACTGCAGGTATACCGACTGCCTAGCTTTGGGCCCCTGGATCTGTAAAATGAGGGGCCCTTACGGTCCTTCCAGCTCTAAATCCATGATCCTACAAATCTTCTTTCTTCTAAGGGGGAAGAGAACAAACTTTTATTTACATGGTGTCTGCTATTTGCCAGGTTCTGTACTAAGTGCTAGACAAATATTATCTCTGGGAGCTGCTATTATTAAATACATTTTACGGTTGAGGAAACTGAGGCAAACTGCAGTTAAATGACAAATAGCTAATAAATGTCTGAGGCCAGATTTGAACATGTCTTCCTGACTCCAGGCCCAGCACTCTATCCACTTTACCATCTTGCTAATCTATACCATAAGTACACAAGTATCCCAGAATGTAGGTACCCTTAAAACAGTTCAGGGCTCCTGTACGCTGACTAGGAAAGGGAAAAGGTGTGTTTGCTAAATAGTATGTTTTCAATGTAGGGAATGCCCAGCGTCAGTCCTTTTGAGATGGGTTGGTTCTGTTGGTTAATGTCTAAAGGGCATGTCTAATCTGTGCTTTTTCCTCCTGGTTTCCCATCCTAGAGGGAGTTTGTAAGAGAAGGCTAAAGGAAAAATGTAAGCCTCGAGATTCTCTTCCAACATCATGCTTTTGATCCTTTCCCCACCAATTATATCTAAAATGCTCTGCACAGACAGTGAATGCAACTGCCTGGTCTCACATGATTGTTCCATTGTCTTGCCTCAATACAGGCCTATATGTCATTGCTTGCAACAGATAAGTTGAGACCAGGAGGGTCCTAAACCCTCCATCACGCAAATCACCTTAGAAATTCACCGTGGTGTGGAATCACAGCCAGAAAAATCACTCTGCTGGACATTTTAAAGGAAACTGTCAAGGTTTTTAGCCTCAATGCTCCTTTTTTTTTTTTTTTAATTTTTATTTGTGTATTTTGTCTTCAGAGTATTATTTTTAAAATACTAGAGCAGAATAAATACCATTTTTCTAATCCAGGGGTTCTTAGACCTTTTATGCCATAGACCCCTATGATAGTCTAATGAAGCTTATGGGGACCCCCCTCTCAGAATTATGTTTTTTTAAATGCATAAAATAAAATACTTAGGATTCCAAAGGAAACCAATTATACTGAAATATAGTTATTGAAATACTTTTTTTTAAAAACAACTGGACAGACTCTAGGTCAAGAACCCCGAGTCTGATCCATTAGCTGATAGGAACTCCATCTGTAACATCCTCCAAAATGTGCTCATCTAGCCTGTACTTGAAGTCCTGCCAAGATGAGGAACTCACTACCTTCCTTTTTAAATTTTTTTAAAAATATATCATTTTCAGATGCACATTTCACTCTCCCACCTCCCTAGCCCTCCCTCTGCAAAAAGCAAGAAAAACAAAACCCCTGTTACAAACATATATGGTCAAGCAAAACAAATTCCCACATTGGCCATGTCCAAAAATATATGTATTTCTCAATTTGTCTTCTGAGTGTGTCACCTTTTTATAAGGAGACGAGTAGCACGAGGCAGCCTGTTCCACTCTGGTGATTAGCAAGTCCCTCATATCAAGCTAAAATCTGTCAACAGTATCCTATTATTTGTTGTTCTGCCTTCTGGACCAAATAGAAACAGCCCCATACTGAAAACAGCTATCATGCCCCTCCTACGTCTTCTCTCCTCCAAGCTACATAACCCTGGTTTCTTCTGTATTCATGTGGCATGGTTTCCTGTCCCAGCAACCCTAATATTTTCCACCTTATCTACATCTTTTCTCAAGTGTGGCACCCAGGACAGAACCCAAGCCTGGTCTGACCAGGGCAGAGGGCCTATCCATCACCTCCCTTGCTTCATTCGCTGTATGAACCAGGCAGGCGCATTGTCTATATTCCATTGATCCCTACCTACCATCACCTGTATCTGAAGTCTGGGATGTCACACTGTTGACTCCTCTTGCTTCAGTTTTTTCCTCCATGATGACATTGGACAAGGACATACAACAAACAGGCCCTGGTGTTAGAAGAGAGCAGGGATCGTTAAATGTAGCTTTTCCTTGTGGAGCATTTCCTTGGCAGGATTCCTTTTAAGGTCAAGCAGTGAAAGAGAAGCATATCTTCCAGCATTTGCCTTTCTTTCCAACTGGCTGAGATGCCATGCTATGCTTTGCTGTCTTTCTGTCTGAGCTTGGGTGGGACTTGGGCCACATGCATGGTACATGGGCCATGCTAACTAAAACCATTTTTCTTGTAAGAATTACCTTTGCAATAATTACACTAAATTATGATAGACCTCCAGTCCCTCTCCCCAACCCCATCCAATATGTCTAGAGAAGAATCAGATTAGTCTGATTTTTTTTAAAATTCTGCTTTTATGTAAAATCTAATGTCATGTCTGCAGGTTTCTTTTCATGTTCTGATTTTTTACAATGATGATTTTTATAATAATGATTTTTTTTTCATGAGAGGGTGACTGTGTCTGAGGACTTTTAAAGTCAGGGTTCTTTGTGGGTGCCTGGTGATACAATGGAAAGAACACTGGATGCAGGAGAAGATGAACCCAGGGGAGCAGAGCTCTTTAGCAGAGACCTCAGTCTTGACTCAGCCTCACTTTTGGCCCCGTGGTTTCTAAATGATCTCAATACTTCTTTACATTAAAGACTTATTGTTCTGTCATCCCTGGTCATGGGAGTTCAAGTCAAACATGGGAAACCTTAATCTAAGGCCATTGAGTCGTAGATTTTTTGAGTTTTAAGGGGAGCTTAAAGACTCCAAGAGTTAAAGATGGGTTTAGTGACAGATAGTTCAGGTTTGATATTGGAGAAAAATGAAACTTTTGTAGGTCATTTATCAGTTAGCAAAAGGTTAGCCTTAGCATAGAAAGGATACTTAACAAAGATACTCCAGAATTTCTCGGATAGATAACTCCCCCTTCTTTTCTCTATGTGGAAATTCATTTGGTCAGCCATATGACTCATGGCCTTAGGACATCTGCCAAATCTGAAGGGGCCTGACTCTACCTGGGTGGGCCTTTTTATGCCATTAGGTGACCAGTAAATCAAGTCAGTACAAAAGAAAATATCAGGAATCTTCATCAAGCTGAGCCCCCCTTGAAGGAGAGTGGCCTAACCCATGTCGAGGGGATAAGAGAGTGAGCCTTGGTAGATGGTGTGCCTATCACCCCAGGTCTTCTGCCTCCCAGGATAGATTAACATCTCTTTTCTCTTGTCAAATTTTTACTTGATGGATTGCTACACCCTGTTTTCAGATGGGTTTCACTTTGGACCTTCTGATTTGGGACATCTGGCTCCTGACAGGTCTTGTCAGATTTGATGATTGCTTATTATCCCCTCCAGTGTTTGCTTTGGCCTTTAATCTTCTCTTCCATCTAGATCTTTGGCTATCCACAGATATACTTATCTGAGCAAATACATGTGTTTGCCCAGTTTACTGTAGGAGAGAATACATAGATCCTACACAAAAAACTGGGAGGCCATAACTGTGATTTCTTTGGGAAGCCAACTGGTTTTAGAATGAAATGTATGCTTGTCTTTCTTCAAAAGTGGCTGGTTGTCCCTTGACTATGGCAGACATAGTCTGGTATTTTTTTTAAAAAAATAGGTTTATAAGCTTAGAAGTCAGTTGTGACTATGCCATGGTCTCTTAAAGCAAGTACTCAACAATGTCTTATTTTCCCCAAGAGTATACTTTGACAACAGAGGTTTTTTTGTTTTTGTTTGTTTGTTTTTAGGAATCCTAAAAAGTGGGCTTAAATTGTAAAAAACAAAAAAAAAGACTAAAATTCTTGCAGGATGTATTAGCTGAGAAAGCCTAAATCTATCAGTTTCACTTCTAAGTAAATGGAATTTTCTTCTTACCCATAAACTTTTCAGAGGAGATGGCCATAATATGAAACATACAAATGGAGCCATACATAAACACACCATTCTTTTTGCCTATTTATTTTAAAATTTGCATTGATGTCTTTCTGTTTCATTTCCAAACTTACTCCACCCTTCTCCCTTTTGCACGTAACAAACAATAAAAGAGAGCCAAAGAGAAGCTGTTCCACAAAAGTAACCAACAAATCAGCCGAGTGTAGCAGTGTATGCTATGCCATTTCCCCAGCCCCCCAACTCTGTGAAGGAAGTGAATTTCCTCCCCTTTTTCATGACGAAATTTAGTCACAACATCCAGTTTTTTTTTTTGTTCTTTCCAATAAATAAATCTTATAAGCAGTAAATTAGCCTGCTATAAATACTCCCACCCATATGCACAAAAAGTGAAAGCCTTTTCACTGGAGATAGTAGGAGATGGGAATGTTTGAGTGCGTGTATTGCTTTTCTATCTATTACCTCTGATGTTGCTTGAAATAATTGCAAGGTACCAGCTAAATTCTTTTTACCTCCCAACTCTTTGTAGATCAAGAAGTTCAACGTCTAAAAATAGGAATGGAAACCTTACTTGTTGCAAATGAAGAAAAGGTAAGAATAGAATGACCCTTTGTAGAGAGGAGTACACTAGACCCTGGCCAATGTGGGGAGCGTCTTCTCTTTGCTTGTGTTAGTATCTTGTTGGTCTAGAGACTCTAGGTCAATCCAATGGGAAGGTTACCTAGATGGGAGCACATGCTTGGCTCATAGTAGGCACTTAATAAATGCTTACTTGATTGATTGAATCATTGGGAATCGTGTCTTACCACTATACCTTATTAAAAGAAATAATGTAGGTAAAGTATTTTGCAAACCTTAAAGCACTTTGTAAATTATATTATTTATCATCATATTTTTAGGAAAGTGTCAGGAGAAGAGCACTTATCAAGGGAAGGTTGATTCAATTTCTCCCAATTACAGATTATCTAATAAGCATACAGGATACTCATCACCACCGGAGAAGCAGCCTAGCACAGGGATAGAGCACTGAACCTTAAGTCAGGAGGACCAGATTTCAAATCTCACTTCACATGATTACTAGCAGTGTGACAAATCTCTTACCTATCTCTCTCTGAAGCTGTTCATCTAGGCAACAAGGTGGTGCAATGGATAAAGCACTTGACCTAGAATCAGGAAGACCTATGCATATTAGCTGTGTGACTTAGCAGTCACTTAACTACTTAGAGCCTCAGTTTCCACATCTGTAAAATGCAGGTAATTATAGTACCTCTTTTTCCAGTATGGTGCAAGGATCAAATGAGATACTGTTTGCAAAGTGCTTTGCAAATCTTAAAGTACTATATAAATGCTTATTATTATTATTATCTATAAAATGGGAGTAATAAGAGTACTTACTCCACAGGGTTGCTATGATCAAATAAGATAATTTACAGAAAACACTTGGTAAGCCTTAAATCACTGTATAAAAATGAGCTATTGAGCACTTACTATGTGCCAGTCACTGTGCTAAGTGCTTTATAAATATCTCATTTGATCCTCACAACAACCTTGGGAAGTAGGTGCTATTAATTATTATTTTTCAGTTGAGGAAACTGAGGCAGAGGTTAAGTGGCTTGTCCAGGGTCATATAGCTAGTAAGTGCCTACGGTCAGATTTGAACTCAGGTCTTCTTGACTCCTGGCCCAGTGTTCCATCCATTGTGCCAACTAGTTGCTTCAAAGGAATGTAGACAGCAATACCTCACACATGAAGTACTTGTGGTACTTTTTAAAATTTTTATTATTTAAAGGCATTTTCATAAAATCTTCAGTGATGTCTTTTGTTTTTCATATCACTTTCTTTTCCAAATATATCCCTGTCCTCCTCCTCCTTCTCCCCAGGAACCATCATTTATACCAGAATAAGATAAAAAGGAGAGGGAAAAAAGCATTCTAGCAAAACTAACTAACATTGGTTGAGTCTGACAGTAAATGCAACATTCCACATCTGTAGCCTTTACCCCTGCCAAGAAAGGAAGAAGGTGAATTTTTTCCTGTCTTCTTCGGAGCCAAGCTTGATCATTAGAATTTTTTAGGTAACTTTTTAAGTTTAAAATATAAATGAAAATGTTAATTAAAAAAAGGTGTAAGTAAAATGATAATCCTATTTTCCAGGTTTTTTTTTTTAATGATGCCATAATAGTTTTTTTTTTCTTTTAAGCACTACTAATTATGAGAACCCCACTCCACTCCCAGTAAAGCCTTGATGTTTTTGAACCCTGTGTGGGTCCAGATTGGCTCCTGATCTTACCTTCATGTTACAGCCTCCCAAGCTTGGGTGTTTTCATGAAAGAAAATCTCCCAGCAATGGCCCAAAGGCCCTGGCAGCCAACCAAAGTGGAAAATGCTGCATCTGAAATTCCATGGGAAGAGCTCACCCTGTGGTCAGTATTAGTGCTAAAAGAAGGCTCAAAATCCTAAGGAAAGACCCCAAACTCTGCTTCCTTGAGGTCCTAGAGCTTGCTTGAGGGATTTTATCATTACAGAGACATCGAATTTTATAGGATGGCTCCATATGCCTGTTTTTTCCTCGTCCCCAGAATGCCCTGCTTCTAACCTTCTTTGTAAATTACTCTCATATTGAGCAAAAAGTGCTGGCTCCTAATGACCTACAGGTATCAAATCTCCTTCCTGCCTTATATTCCCAGGATTAAACTAAATATTTGTGCAATGAAAGAGACCTGCTTTATTTTAATTAAATTGTTCATTAAATGTCATATATCACATAATAAAACTTAGGTTTAATTCTATCTAGAGGTATTGCACTAGCTTTTTAAAAGCTGACAGTGCTATTAAGTGGTTTCACACCTGATTAAACACTGCTCCCAAAGAGGCTCCTTGTCCAGCTTGAGGGTGGAGTCTAGCACAATTTCACAGGGCCCTGCCCTGCTCCACATTTTTACCAGTAACTTCATCAAAGAAGTTAAAAATGCTCATTCAGTTAATAGCAGGCAAAAAGCTGGGAGCAGTGGAGGACATAATCTAAGGTTTAAATTATCTTGATTGACCAGAACCTCTTACAAGGTTGGGGGAAAAACAGATAAATGTACAGCCCTGCTCTTAGGTTCAAAAAATCAATTACAGAAATATAAGATGGGGGAAAACTCATTTTAGAATCATTCATGTCAAAAAGATCTGGAAGATTAATGAGCCATAAATTTAATAAATGACAACAAACATTAAGTAAATACCATGTGTGAACCACTGTATTAGGCACTGAGCATACAAAGAAAAAACAGTGCCTTTCCTGCCCTCAGAGTTTACATTCTCCTTGGGAGTGAGGATAATGAGAATAAATTACAACACAAACACAAATAAGTGTGCTACAAAGTAAGTTGAGGTAGAGAGCAGGTACTGACTCCTGAGGGGGGAATAGAACTATACCCCCAAAAAAGCATATCTCTATATGAATCTGTGATTTCATTGATTGAACATTCCCTCAGTATTGCAACTTGTAACACATCAGTGCCCGACTATCCTATGTGACTCTTGTCCAAGTCTTCCCATGAGCTCTTAACAATGAAGCCAAGGGCCTTTCTCCTGACAGCCAGGCATACCAGCGGATTGACCTAGCTTTCAAAAGTCCATCTTATCTTCCTATTATATATTTCCCTGGTAACATCTTTTATTCCTGTTGTGCTTCCAGATTCCTCATTGGTTAGAGCCTGCTTACATGTACCTCTCCATTGACCTCTGTGTGATTTGCTTTTTCATTTCTTTGGAATCTGTCTCAAAGTCATATGGCAGCACCAGTAAAATATTGGTGTGTGGAGGGGGAAAAAACCTGACCTCTGTTTCCAAGAGATGCTTGGAGATCATTTGAGGAAACAATATTACCAGAAGATCTGAAGTGATTAGACCACACTTCAAGCATTGTCTTAATTTTAAGAGGCATATTAGCAAATAGAAGCAGGAGTGGTCCAGGTGACTGAGAATACTGCAGTTTCTGTAAACCATACCATGTGGGGAGTGTTTAAAGAGGTTAAGACTAAGGGGAAATAGAAGAGCTTGATTTGAAAGAGGAGAAGGAGATTAGATTTGCATAGTTTCAGAGGCCAGAACTTTAACCCAGGTGACGATGCAAGTTACAGGGAGGTCAATTTTACATTGCATACAAGGGTGATCTTCCCAGCAATTAATAATGATCATGATAGTTAACATTTATTTAGCACTTACTGTGTGCCAGGCACTGTGCTAAGTGTTTTATAGTTATTATCCCATTAGCAGCATCCAACTATATAATGAGCTGTCTTCTGAAATAATGAATACCCTAATGCTAGAGGTATACAGACAGAGATTAGGTGACCATCTATTGTCGCTACTTAAGGTAGAGATTGGACTTGGTGAGTTCTTAGGTCTCTTCTAGCTCTTCAAGGTTTCAAAGGAGTCCAGTAAAAATGAAAGAAGTGCAGGATTTGGAGTCAGAGGACATGAGTTCCAAGTCCTGAATCTGCCGTTTAAAACCTGTGTAAACTTAGGCAAAATATTTCCCCTCTCTGGCCTTGTTTCCTCCTCTGTAAAAGGGAGAGGTTGAATTAGATGGCCTCTGAGGCCCCTTGTCCCCTAAATCTTGTGATTTGGTTTGCAAGTCCAATCAACTAGGGCATAAACTCCTAGAAAATGGAATAATTCCTTCTTTTTCCTGTGTAGTACTCTCCACACCTGTTATGGTCCAATGTGCAGCTACATATATCGTACGTCCTTCCATGCACTCATTGTCTGGGTCCTGGAGGCAGGCAGAGGTTTTCCAAAACCCCTCCAAGACACAAGAGGGTATTTTAAAGGTTTTGTTCTACCCTTAAGGTTTGGGGGTTTTGTTTAATATTTTCTTTTGTTGTTTACCTCACCATTTCCTTTCCCCTATCATTGAGCTGTTGCCAGTAACAAAGAAAAACAGTTACATTACACTGCTCACCCGGGTTCTTGTTCTCTCCCCTTATCTCTCCCCAGCCAAGGGAAGTATGGTTTTTTTTTTTTCATCAGTTCACGGACCAAGTTTGATCATTGCATTTAATCTGATCTTAGCTACTTCTCAGTGTTGTTTTCATTGATATTACCGTAGTCATTGTGAATATTCTTCTATTGTTTTTGCTTTTTTTGTTCTGCATCTCTTCATACAAGTTTTCCTATGTTGCTATGGTGCAATGATATTCCATTACCAATTTATTTAGCCATCCCTCTATTATTGGGCCAGTCACATGTTTCCAAATTTAGGCTACTAAAAGCGTCTCTTTGATGATTATTTTGGCGCATATGAATCATAGCATCACAGCATTTGAGCTGAAAGGGACCTAAGAAACTGTCTAGTCCAGCAGTGTCTCGCTTAACTAGAAAGTGGATACTAGCATAGAAAGCTCTTCGCAGGTCACACGTTGACTTAGAAAACTACATATTAACATTATCTATGTTCTGTTGTGCTTTTTTTAGTTTTGTTAAATATTTCCCTGGTTCCCTAATATTAATCTGGTTCATGTGAAGATTTTTTGACACCTCTGATTTAGTCTAACCCCCTCATTTTGCAGAGAGGAAACTGAGGCCAGAGGAGTTAATTGATTTGCCTGAGGTCACACGAGTAGGAAATAGGAGCCCCGGTGTAAAGGCAGGTCCTCTTGACTCTAAAGTCAGCCCTTTTTCTGCTATAATACACAGTGGGAATCTGACCTCTCTGTCTTTGACCTCCTTCCAGCTGGTACTTGTGGATCTTCTGGGTCTGACTCAGTTTCCTTTTTGTTTCAGGACCGCAGGATAGAGGAGCTCACGTTGTTACTGAGCCAGTACCGAAGGGTAAAGGAGATCATGCTGGGAGGTCACGGTAAGAGAAGAGGCAAATTCATTGTTCCTCCCGAAAGACTTTCTTTGCCTTTCAGGAAATCCTCTCCTCCAGGGCCTTGTACTCACTATGCCAAGAGCGAGGGGTACTAAACCTCAGACTCACTTCCAACAGAAATACATGATCTCCCTTCTGGGTAAAACGTCCTTTCAGTGCATATGAGAACGTAGTTGATCGGAGGGCTACTGCTTCATAGGATTGCAGATTCACAGCTAGAAGGAACCCCTTCATTTTACAGAAGTTGGAGAACTAGGCCACAGCAAATTTAAGTCACTTGCCCCGGGTTACCCAGATAGTAAATGTCAGAGGCAGGATTTGAACCCAGGTCTTCCGGACTCCCAAGCCCCAGTGCCCTCCCTAATCACCACACCCCCCTGCCTCTCATGCTGGGAGCTATTATATTGCCCTGTGTAGTTGTCCTTTCAAAGGCTGCCTTGTGTGATGAGGGAGAACTCCCCAAGCTTTCTTGTGGGAGCAAACGGGTCACGAAGCAGGGTTTTTCCCCCACACGTCAGCAGTGATGGTGTACCTTCCATCGAGAGCAGTCCACACCTGGAGTTCCTGTGAAGGCAAAACAGGCCTGGGAGAATTATTGACAACTCTTTCCTCTGTGTCAGACACTTGAACTGGCCTGGGAGTAGTTTTCCAATTGTTTTTAGACCTTAACCTGCCTAGCTGGGGAAACATGGTAGATGATATCTTTGGGCTAAAGGGCTATATTGAGAAACCCCAACCTCTGAGTGGGTCAAAGAATAGCTTAGGATCATAAGTTTAGAGCTGGAAAGGACCTCAGGGGGTCAGTTAGTCCAGTGTGGTCAAACTAAAATAAACACAGATCCGCCTCTAGTTGGACACCTCATTTAGTCCAGCTTCCTCATTTTACAAGCCCAGGGAGGATAATTGCTTAAGGTCACACATGTGGTAATCATTCATAGGTAGGATTGCAACCTAGGCTTTTTGATTTAGCCCAGTGCTCTTTTTACTGTACCATGTTATGTCTTTTTGCCCTGTATCAACTGGAAGTACCAAGGAATAGCCACAAATGAATACAAACTAGAATTTCATTTTATGGGAGTTGGAGAATATCAGAGCTAGAAGGACTATGGATACCCATCAGCTCAATCCACCATCTTTTCTGTCGGTCAAGAATTGATCAGTTAATTAAGAACTGACTAACCTTATGTCAGGCATTAGATCAGTCTGAATCAAAGCTGGGGAACAGGGTTTGTGCATCTCATGGCTGATTTGGAAGGTGCTCCACAGCTTTTGAAGGCTCATAGTGCCTCTTAAAGTGCATTTATAGAAGCCTGTATTCTCTTGCAAGACCTTGGACAATGAGAGTTGTTTTTGTAATTATCTTCACGTATGCTGCCCACACACTGATGCAACAGCTCTTTTATTTTTGGTTCCCACGGGCAAAGCCTGTTACAATATCAGGAAAAGCTCTTGGTGGTTTTGCACCCATTATGTTCTTAAGGATGCTGATGAAATGCCAAGGTTTACGAGCTTTTTCCCAGGATGAGACAAGCAGGAGAGGGATCATGCAATCCCAGAGCCCTTGGTTCTCAGATCCTTTGGCATCAAGTCTATAGATTGCCCCAGGTTGAGGGCAGAGGAGAGTTAACTTGGACATTGACCTGATTTCCTCATCCACCCACCAGACCCATTGCCCAATCATAATGCCTCCAGGGCCTATCTTTGGCCCTTCAGAGAAGGTATTTTGTCTGAGTGCCATTAGGGTCTGACTTCCTGCAGTCATAGGTGAACCACATTGTGGACAGCTAGGGTGAGGGTTCTGTGGCATGAGATGATCTGGGTAAAAGCCAGGATGGGGCCCTATCCTGTAAACTTTCACTTCAAAAGAAAATATACAAAGCTCTTAGAGTGGAAGAGAGAGCTGCTCTTCAGATAACCTGGGGAAATCACTGTGGCAATAGAAAATTAAAATCAATATGTATTTAAGTGTCTGCTATGTGCTAGATACTGGGGCAACAAATACAAAAATGAAATAATCCCTGCCCTCAAGGAGCTTACTGTCTACTGAGGCAGGGCTAAGGAGGAGAGGAAAAAGAACAAGTGAACAATAAATAGAAAACACATACAAAGTAAATAATAATTTCAGGGGTGGGTTTTTAGAAGATTTTGTTGTTGAGTCACTTTCAGTGACAAGAATACCTTGTACTTGGAAATCATATGTAGGTCAATTTGTCTGGAATGGAGAGCCTATGAAGAAGACTTTGGGGTTTTCTTGGCAAAGATCCCAGAGTGATTTGCTGTTTCCTTCTTCAGCTCATTTTACAGATGAGGAAACTGAGGCAAACAGGGTGAAGTGACTTGCCCAGGGTCACACAACCAGTAAGTGTCTGAGGCTGGATTTGAACTCATGAAGATGAGTCATCCTGACTCCAGGCCCGGCACTCTGTCCACTGCACCACCTATCTGCTCTTTGGGGGAGAAGAAAGCCCCATTAACTGGGGAGATGAAGAAAGACCTTTAGCAAAGACCTTAGCAACATGTGTTGCACCTAGGAAGCCCTTAGTAAGTTAATGTTTCATTCATTCATTCATTCATTCACTTTAGCCAGGTCATGAATGGAACAGAGGATTATAAGCAGAGGTGAGGAAATAGGGCATTTCAGACATGGAGTCAATGGAAATCCTGAGTTCAAATGCAGCCTCAGACACTTGCTAGCTGTCCTTGGACAAGTCACGTAACCTCAGTTTCCATAACTAAGGATGTTGAGGAAAATGAGGATAATACTAGGATAGACTACCCAGGATTGTGGTGTGGATCAAATGAGATAATATTTGTAAAGGTCTTAGCACAGTACCTGGCACATAGTACAATCTATATAAATGGCACTGTTGGGACAGCTAGGTGGCACAGTGGATAGAGCACTGGCCCTGAAGTCAGGAGGACCTGAGTTCAAGTCGGGCCTCAGACCAAACACTTGACACTTACTAGCTGTGTGACCATGGGCAAGTCACTTAACCCCAATTGCCTTTAAAAAAAAAATAAATAAATGGCACTGTTATTTTTGGAAGTTGGGGGAGGAATACCTTGTACTAGGAAACCATATGTAGGTCAGTTTGTCTGGAATGGAGAGCCCATGAAGAAATAGAATGTGAAATTGGTTTTGAACAAAGGGTTGGGGCCAGATTAGAATGCCAAGTAGGGTATATGTCAAGCACTGTGCTACACCAGGACTACAAAGAAAAAGAAAAAACAGATCCTGCCCTCAAGGACCTTCCATTCTAACAGAGCAGACTGTTTGTCTATAAATCAGTGCAAACCAGCGAATAAATGGAATTTAACAGAGGGGGAGGCCATTAGCAGCCAGCTCTCACTCTCTTTTCGTTGACTTTTATTCTAAAGAAGGAAAAGCTGTTTCTCTAGTCTCTACAGTAAAGCAAACCTAGATAAAGTTATATTCCCTTTCTGTTGGTCCCCCTCAGGCTCTTCAGAGAGAATCCTTTCCAGTGGGGAAGAAGAAATGGAAGGATCTTTCCGGAAGTGGAATGTGGTGAACAAATCCCCAGGAGAAACAATGAAACTAGAGGTCTTGGATTTTAGTATCTGATAAGCCCAAAGCAGCCCCGAGGGCCTAGCCTGAGCTGGGAGAGGGGGAGGGAATTGGTTAAGCCTTTGGAAGGCTACTCAGCTCACCCAGCCAAACGGTAACAAGCTAAGTAAGTGAGCCAGAGTGATGTCTGGAAACTTAAACAACTCACTTACATTAAATAGATCCTCCTGGGTTAGGTTGGGTTATATAGATTTATGGTCTGGTTATATAGATCTGTTCAGAGAGAGGGCCAGTCGTGATTTCTCAAGTCATAGGAATTCCAACTCATCAACAGAGCAGCACCAAACCAGGGCCTGAGTAAAAATCACAGAGCACAGAATGTTAGAGCAGGGGAGAGAAGAACCTGGAGGTTTTCTAGCCCAATCCTGCTATTTAAAATTTTTTTGATTTAATATTTTTCAATGAACAAAAATCTATTTTATCTCTCTTCTCCCTTCCCCACTATTCCCTATGGAATGCATAATCTTATTAACAATGCATTCCAAATTTCCACCTTAGCCGCATCCCCAAAAAATAGATGTCTCATTCTGCACAATGCATACATCATCTTTTGATCAGGAAATGGTAGTATGCTTCATCACTGGTCTACTGGTATTGTAATAAGTCTTAACACTGGTTAGAGATCTTAAGGTTTTCCCAGTTGTCTGTCTTTCAGTCCTCTCATTTTACAGGTGAGGAAACTGAGGCCCTTCTCAGAGAGGTTAAAATGGCTACAAAGCCAGAAAGCTAGAGCCTAAGTGTCCTTACTTCCAATCTAATTGTCTTTCTTTACATTGGGTCTGAAAGAAACTGGGCTGTAGAAAACTGAGAAGGCTGTTCAGTGTGCCTCAGTGCCCGGGTGTGTCTGATAGGATGCTGAGACTCTTCTGTTTCCCCTGCAGGTATCTCCGAGGTGTGCTTCCCCTACCTTGGGAGCTCCTCCCCTGCCTCAGAAAACCCTGGAAACAAGGTGAGAGGTCGGGTCCTGTGACCTTCCCCTCTGGATTGCTCTTAAGACTTTAGGGTCTTTCCACCTATATCCCAACCTCTGAAAACAAGCTACCCATTGAGGACCTTGGCAGGTGTGTGGGTCCTGAACCAAGTGAGCTGTTGACCTAACTTATTGGGTGTGGTGTTTCCTTTGACAGTGGAAGCATCCTGGATACCAGCAATGGCCAGATTTCCCACTGTGAGGAAGATTCTCTGGAATCACAGAGCAGGTACCAGTCACGTTTCTCTGCTGCCTTCCTGTCAGGTTCAGGACTACATCATGTTCGCTGGAGATGGCTCCAGAAAGGAAAAGAGCAGCTCAAAGGTTATGGGTTCCATTCAGTTCAGCCAATACTGCCAGGTCCTGGAATTTGGCCTTTGCATATCTGCATCCTTCAAGAGAAGGCTCCAGATTGTTGTAGGACATTAGGGTCATTTAAAAAATTAATTTTTATTAGCGTGATTAGTAGGGATACACATAGTCATTCCTCACGCTCTCCCAGAAACTCTCTCTCTCTCTCTCTCTCTCTCTCTCTCTCTCACACACACACACACACACACACACACACACACACACACACACACACAC